TTAATGATTAATTAGATGGAACATTGTGGGTGTGGTGTATGAATGTTAACACTTTGTAATAATTCTTTAGTATATTACTTGTGTGGTGTAGAAGAGAATTATCTATGTAGAGATACTGCTTGCAAACCAATGATGGTAAGATGATGTCATGGGGTAGGACTGGATAAGTCTGACTTCTTCCTACTCCGTTCAAGCATGTACTAGGTATAAGCAAATTAATAATGGATTAGCATTTGTGGATATGTGTGAAATTATGTGTGTTGACATATCGACTGTCTTTACATGCTTGAAAGAATAAAATCAATCTATCTATCAATCTTGGGCACCTCTAGATTATCGTGGCACCCCTCGTAACTCCAAATAACTATTTCAGAATAATAAAACCAAAAGGCCTCTTCATAAAAAAAAATTAAAAAAAAGAACACGCACAACTCCTGTTGCTGGCGTTGTGCTCTCCATAGGTAGGTAAACAATGCTATATGTACCGATGAAAAGAGATGTGTAAAAGTGTGTAAACCCCATATTATAATTAACAATAACTTCTCCAGCCTTACAACAATTCTCTGTAATGTTACAGAAAGAAGACATTACATCCTCTGGTCACAGCAGCAGGAGGAAAAATACAGTATATCCACAAAACCGGGCGCAGTCGAAGAAGTCCGCTTTTACAGTGGCACTGGTGGATGTCTTTTTTTTTTATAAATATAAAATTTATTGAAAATATACACAGCAAACAAGGCAATGTAACATTTTGCCAATATGGTGGGGGCACAGGTGGGTGTCAGGTAAGGTCACATGAACCCGCCACGGCCTGGATTTAATGCCCATTCAAGGGGATCCTTAAACTATTACGCAATACTTTATATTGTTAGACAAAAAAGTCTAGTAAGCCAGAGTTAGTCAGATGTGTATAAACCCAGTTACTTTTTGTTAGCTTTAGGTCATATCTAAGATGAGAATTCACCGTTGTAACGTGGATAAGTCAAAAAACAACGAAAAGCCATGGGCTCTTTAAAATAGTGCGCAATAGTGGCTAACCCCTCCAGCTTGCTTGTCTAACCCCAGAGAACGAGAGAGGACAAAAGCTAATGTTTAGTGTGACTCAGTTGTACGGTCTCAGTACACACAAGCTTCTACTGAAGCTACAAGTCACCCAGCACCAGAGAGGGATGAACCCAATAACGACAGCTCTTAGAGGGCGAAGCCTAGACGAAATAGAACAACGACACAACGACCGGAGCTGACTCATTGAGGTGCTAGCAAGCTAACGTTAGCCCTCTGATAACAAGCACCGGTTCGCAGGCCTAAGCCCGTTTTTCAGCTCACATACAACTAAATAAAAAAGCTACACACCGAAAGTTTGACAAAATGTACTTTGATAGTAGAATGCTTACCTGTTTCTGATTTTGTTTCCGTTTTGTGACTCGGTGACAATATCCGTCAACGTGTTTCACAGGGCGAGTTTAGGCGTCTTTACTTAAAGTTATGTTTAAAATACATTTAAATGGATGTTGTTTCTGTTTTCACAAGATTTAATCGAGTTCACTGTTACCAGGTGTGCGTCCCTGTTTGATAAAAGGCCGTGTCGCAACAAGGTCTAAAGGACGGGGGCGTCCCAGGTGGAGCTGCAGAGGTTTCTGACGTCAACATCTCTTTGATCGATACATGTCACGTGACAGCTACTCGTTCAAAACGGATGCAATACGTATATATTGTCCCCTACTTGTAGTTCTTTAGTTTGATTCTCTTGTAGTTTTTTGGTGGGGTTATGTGTGTCTGTTTAGATTTTACATATTAGTGAATATTCCTGATTTTAGGATCAATAAAGTATCTATCTATCTATCTATCTATCTAGTGCATTTCACTGTATGTCCCCCCCCAGTGGCTGCTATGACAACTCTGCTCTGAAGGGACAATAAAGTATTTAGTATGGATGAAACACACTAGGATGCTTGAGTGCTGACTGACTATATCTACAGGTAAGATGGTTTTTAACTCCATCACACATCTCTTTCCAAGAACTCTGCCTCCTCTCTGCCTTTTTAATGGGGACTCCTACAAATGGGCTAAGGACAAACACTCTTGAGTCTGTCCATGTAAGCAGTGTTGGTGCACATGAAAAGTGACAGAAGCAGGTGAAGAGAGCTTGAGAGAAAGGTTCACACCTTCACCTACTGTCACACCTTTGCACACCTGGCCAACCACTACATAAAGTGGGGACAGGTGTCAAAAAGTCTGTTTTGGAAAGTTACAAT